CCGGGAAGAGCGCAATGATAATACCAGCATGGGCCAGTGAAGCAACATCCTCCACAACTAGACTGAAGAACAAAAGGACAGCAGCTTGTCTGTTCCCCTTCCCCGATTCCCCAATGCTGTTCCCATGCCCCAAACCCCCAATAAAATCTTTAAAAAAAATAGGGAGCAATGTAGTGAGATGAAAACCCTCAGCATTTGGGGTCAGAAAGCCTGGTTCAAGCCCTTGCATTACCACTTATGAGCTGAGAGAACTGGGAGAAGATTCTAGATCTCTCTGCAGCAGCATCTGTAAAACTGAGATGATGGCACCCACCTCACAGTATCTGGGACAGTTGTTCAATAAGTGTTAAGTACTATTTATCACCCCCAAAAGTTCTATAGAACTAGATGTGTTGGCAACTAGCAACAGAGAAAAATCAAAGTATTCTAACTTAGAAGTAAATGTGACCCCCCCACCTTTTTTTTTAGCTGAGCCATCCTGCCACCTGTTGGCAGCTCAGTGGCTGCTCAGCTCGGGCCAGGACTCTAACTGCTGATGCTCAGAGCTCGCACTCTTGAGCAAGCTCTTAACCAACTGAACCACTCGGCCAGTAAATGTGACCTTTTTAAATCCTTCAAATAACGCTGGGGTGAATCCTCATGTTAATTAGGAGAAATGACACAAAGAAGGTAAGTAAACTGCTCATTCTCACATAGCTCCTAAGGAGTGACTGTGAAAAAAACCCAGTTGTAACTGAATCCAAACCCAGCTGTGTCTGAGTCTTAGAACTCTGTTATCCTGCAATGGGATATGACTCATATCACTAAAGGTCTGGGAGCATTTACTGATTATTAATACTTTTTTTTTTAAGGACTGCACGGGAATTAAAGGGACAGGGACTCCTATTCTTTGTGGTTTCTAAGTAGCCTATTAAATAAAAAGCCGGACAGGGTGCCTTGATAAATGAGTGTTCTGAGAGTAATGAAATCTGTGGAGTTATTTTTCCTACTTTTTTGGGGGGTGGGAGTGGAGGGAGGGTCAAGACTAGCTACTTACCAGCTTCTTCAAAATATAAGGATAATAAATCTCCTTAACATGGATATTCCTCATCCTGAGGAAGATCACCTGGGTCTTATCTCTTGGCTAAGAATGTGTAGGGAGAGTATGTTTCACCATCCTGTGTTTTAGAGCCTTCAGCACCATTTATGAGGGGTGCTCCACTGGGAGAAACAGGGTTAGTGTGAAGTGGCAGACACTGGTGTGAAGTGGAACCACGCAGAGCTGGTAGCATCTAGGGTGCAGGCAGTGGTGTATCTACTGGTACACTGGCTTTCCAAAACAAACGAAACAAAACCAACTAAAAGTGTTTGCTTTTCTCCATGATGTATTACTCCTCACACACTATGGTCAATTTCAAGCCACCAACATGATGTCACTGAACCTGGAGCTGGGGAGAGATGCACACACATTGGCTCTTGCCCAGTGTGAATGGGTTCCAGCACATCCCCTGGCTGCAGGCTTATTATAATACAGTGTGAGGAGCTCTGGCCTGAGTGTAACATTAGAGAAACGGCTTCCTGCTCTGAGAGAGTGCTCAGCTTCCTTGCCAGGCCTCAAGTCTGATTTTTAAAACTAAGCTTAGCTAGTGCTGACAGCTGTCACTTCTGCTACAGGAATGTGCTCACCCATCTCTGCATCCTCGCTCCAGCAGGAGCAACACCACTTCAGCATCCTGGGGAGTGTCCCCGGCCACGGGAATCTTTCTTGCCTCTGCCCGTGGGAGGGATGACTCTGAATCTGTCCCATTTTCTCCAGCTGGGGTGAAGCTGAGTATTGGAGGTGAGAGAGCTTTCCGGAAAGTTTCCTTCTCTATTTGGGTGGAAGCCCCCTTAACTGAACTTACAACTAAAGTGGATAGGCAACCCCGAAAACCCACTGCCACTGAGGCTGATGATTGGGTTGGGCACTTAGTCCAGGCTTCGCATTTCTTACAAGATCCCTGAGACCGACAGTTTGTTTTGAGGAGCTGGAGCAGTGAGACAGAAGGAGCCCGCCTGGATTCCTGAACGTCTTAAGAGATTTCCAGATGCATCATGGGGAGTGGGCTGCGGTCTGGACAAGGGAAAGATGGGTTTTGTTGCCCAGAGAGAGGTGATTAAAGGGTGCTCAGCCAAGAGAAATCTATTTGTCCCTGTTCCTACCTGGGAAGCTAGCAATCTGTCAAAACACACTTGAACACCACAAGTAAATGAAAACTGTTCACCCAACACCTGATTTCAGTTGTACAATCCCCCCCATATATAAAACCATGAGAAATAAAGGCAAACATGTATATTTTCTTATTGTTGAACTTTGAAAGCTTTTTTTGGCTCTTCCCAGTTTGGACGCTGAATCAAAACAAAATAGGACATTTACAAAAGCCCTTTCTTTCCCCACCAGGCTCCTTGAGGTGATGCCCTGAATCACTGAGAGAATTCGTTAACACTGAGTTGCTCATGAGGTTTGTGTCAGAAAATTCATCTTTACAGAGAGAAATACTTCCAGGTAAGTCGGAAAGACGATTGCTGGGCGTCCTGAGCTGATCTTGAAAGAGATTAGAGGAAGTAGAAGTAGTTGTTGGGCGGTGCTCTTAAGAGAAGTTCATCACCAGCTTTTTGTGGACATCCAGGCCTCTGGCCACGGCACTGAATTCCTCGAAGGATATCCTGCCATCACCGTCCGTGTCCAGGGTGATGATGGTTTTGTCGACAAGCTGCTGTAACTGCCAGTCATGCAGGTTGTCCCCCACCATAATCTTCAGCACCTGGAAGAGCTCCCCGTTGGAAATGTAGCCGTCTTTATCCATGTCGTAGATGTTGAAAGCAAACCTCAGCTTCTGCTCCTGGTCTCCCTTGACACTTAAGTGGGAGGTCCCCACGATGAATTCCTCGAAGTCCACTTCCCCGTTGCCGTCCGTGTCGAAGACCTGGATCACTCGCTGTGCCAACGGGTTCTGCTGCAGGCCGGGCAGGGACATGAACTCGTCCACGCTCAGAGCACCCGAAGAGTCCAAGTCCAGCTTCTTAAACCTCTTGCCCAAACTTTTAATTTCATCACGGTCAAAGTGGGAGCACATCTCCGCGGGGTAACTGGCCTCATTTCCCATTGTGGACAACGGGCACCGGCTAGCTGGGTCAGCCCTCGGGGGCGGTGACGCTGTGGGAGGGGCAGGGGGCCCGGTGGCGTGGGGGAGGGGAAATGGGGCGGTGGGGGGGAGCTTGCAGGGCGGAGGAGATGGGGCGATAGGAGCGGAAGAGGCTAAGATGAGGGCTCCTCTCCTCTCTCCCCTCTCTCGGCCTCCTGTGGGTTTCCATTATGAAGCCCCTACCCCCTTTGCTATTATTTAATCTTCTCACTCTTTTTCCTTACACAGTCAACTCCATGGAGGCAGGGACAGCATTTATATTACTCACCGCAGTATCCCTGGCACACTGCCTCACATACAGTGTGTGCTTAATAAATGCATGTCGATGACTGAGTGAACTTATGCTTACTTTGCCTAATGTAAGGACTAAATGAAATGACAGACCAGAGCACTGACGTTATTATGTATTTCCTAAATTCTTTCGGCGGGGAAGCCAGGATTGGCATCCTTCCGGTATAGCGGTCACTGGCCTTTTTCAGGACATGGGGTTCAGGGTCTTTGCAAGAGACCCCAGGCTATCACGCAGAACTTCTCACANGAGGGTGAGGTGAGGAGGTGTACTGAGCCCTGAGGGCTATACAGGTACCAGGGATTTTCCTGGAACATCTCCCTACAGGTGGTGACCAATTCTATAACCTTGACTTCCAGGAAGTATATACAAATGTGTTTGAAAATAGCCCTTGGACCTGTGGTAACATATACAGGACATGGCTATTATAGAAGGATTCCATGTGTTATTACTGCAATGGATGAAGAACAAACTGGGGCAATTGATTTTGACTTTTAACACTAACATCATCAGGCTGGCCGAGTGGCGCGTTGGTTAGGAGGTGGCTTGGGACGCCAGCTCTGAGCAGCAGGGTCCTGGTTCGGATACCACATGAGGGTCAGTGACACTGCCCTCTACAGCTAAGATGGTGAACAACAGCTCGACCTGGAGCTGGGCTGCCATGAGTTGTCGGCGACAGCATAGGCTGCAGCCCCTGCTGCAGTGGGCTGCCTTGAGCTACTGTGAGTGGCTGGCAGCCAGCATGAGCGGCCGGCAGCCGGCGTGAGCTGGCGTGAGCCTCTGTGAGAGGCCATCCAATGGCCAGCGAGTGATTTCCTCGCCTGGGAAGAGTGCAATGATAATACCAACATGAGCCAGTGAAGCGACAACCTCCACAACTAGACTGAAGAACAAAAAGACAGCAACTTGTCTGTTCCCCTTCCTCGATTCCCCAATGCTCGTCCCCTCCCCCAATTCCCCAATAAAATCTTAAAAACAAAACAAAAACAAAACAAAAACACTAACATCATCAAACATTGAGTGAAATACTAAACAGACTGGCACTGCTCTCTTATAAGGTGCTGCCAAGATGGAGAAGAACAACGTAACTTACAGTGAATCATCTTGCCTTTAAACACAGGGCTTTCCCCCATTTTCTTGTGCACAACCGTAATCAGTTTCATTTTCCTCTTATTGCCTCAATAACAAATATGCTGTATTCAGTTTATATTATACATTTCTTTCTTTAAATTTCTGTTGTTTACACCCACATACTAATAGACAAATGGAAAGGTTTTTTTTTTTAATTGGGATCTAATATGTGTACCAGACACCATATATGCACAGAATGATCTTATAATAACCCTTTAAATTGTCCTCATTTCATATTTGAGGAAACTAAGGCTCATAGAGATTAATTACCTTACCCCAGATCAAACAGCTAATAAATGGGGGAGCTGGGTTGTGGATCCAGGTCTGTGTCTAATGCCAAAGCCCGCGCTGCCTTTCAATCAAACACCATTTGCAGATCCCTTGCTGTCTGAACTCTTACTGTCTATTCCCTATAACAACTTGCAAACATTTTTATTCAAAACTCATCATTGCAATTGAAAACCCACTATGATCTGCCTGTGAGCGCCAATGGAAATGTTTAAATTGTGTCTGAGTCTCACTGATAAGGAGTCCAGCTGCACTCGTAATTCAGCTGCTCGTCCCCCAGGACCACACCGTGTAAGTGTGCTGTGCACTGGATATGTGCGTCTGCCCCACACGATTACGTGAAAACTTGCGTTCTAACAAAGTGGCACTGGCTCAACTTGACGCGTATCCTTGGTCAGAGGGAGAAGGAGAAGAGGAGCAATGAATATTCAATGTCAAGTCTTTAAATGTAAATGATGCAGACAAAATGATGAATGCGGTTCCAAGTGACATGAATAGAAACAT